CCATGCGAGTAAAACTGAGGCTGTGTCTCAAAACAAAATTTACTTTATGTAAAGTTCTTAGAACAGTTTCCAGGATTCATGTCCACTACACCATTACCGTCTCCTGCTCCCTTTCTTTTTCTCTTTCTCTATCCCTCAGCTCTTGCCTCTGATGTTCTATCCTCCACAGTCACACATGCCCTAAGGTCCTCAGGAAGGTCTCCCCAAAGCTTGCTTTCGGTTGTTTCATGCATTCCTCTTCCTGCCTACTACGTTTGTTTTCATTTCCATTGATTCTGTTCGATGGTTCCTCATACTCAGCCAGGGACACTAGAACTTGGGTGCTCTTCTTCCATGTTAAGAAACATGCAACTTTTTGAGCTGTGCAATTCCCTGGAATTCTCACTAAGACCTTGCTTTTGCAGCAGAGCCGTGTGAGCTCACTGTGGCAGTGTTTATTCTGTCCCATGTCTCCTTCATCGCTACACTCTACAAATGCAGTATGTATTCATGGTGCTGGACCACAATTAGTCTCCTGTAGACACAGTGTGCTGTCTTCTCCATCCTCATTGCACCTACCTTTCTCCCAGCCAACAGTCTCTTCCCTGGTCTTCTGTCACCCCCTTTCCTACCACTTCATTGGCCACCTACATGAATCCTACTTGGGATCAGGTGACACTCTGTGAAAGATTACATGATCTGTTCCCAGGGTTGGAAAACCTTAGGTAGCATGTCTAACACTGAGCTCAGAGGCAGTTCCCTGTAAGAGCTGTCAGTTTGTTATCATTAGTATTCCATTACCAACTTAGAACCAAAAAACCTCGTTAGAAATGGAAATGTTTATTGTCTCAAGTAGGGTTGTGATGGAATTCTGTGCTTCAGGATCCCCAGCTACTTCCAAAAATTAGGAAGGTGGCTACAGGGGATGAAGCCTTCCTGATGTGATCTGTACTCCTTTATGCTTGATACCAGACATCAGTGCTCTCATTCTAGCTTTACTTCGGGCTCTTACACACATACACCACCACCACCACCACCACCACCACCACCACCTGGAACCCTGATGCCCCAGCTTGTATCACATCTAGAAATCAATGATTTACAATTACTCTAAGCTTTCATGTTTACTTGTTTGGCTTTGACTTTCTTTAATCAGTGGAGATCTAGGTAGAATCACTGCACTATCAACCACTGGCCGCTGGGCTTCTAGTTCTACTGGTATCTGCCTCTAAAATCCTTATGGTACTATTATCATGCTATGCACGTTCTTGTATTAGAAAGTCCCTGGTCTGTGCTCTTCCTACTCTTTATTATCATCCCTCATTCATAATTGCCTCTGTCACTGTGACACCTTCACCTCTTCCACCAGTGCTCAGTCTGGCTCAGTCACACCATCTGTTTGTGTGACAACAACATTATGGGATCCCTCCATGCATCCCTAAATATGCACAGGAAGGAATAAAAGATGGCACAAGTTACTAGCTGGCACTGGTTGCACAAACCTAGACAGTGATGAATCATGACCCAGGACAGGAAGGACGACTGATGGCTAACCTTCACCATCAGTTCAATGGGAAGGTCTCTCTGCTCGTGGACACAGCTTATCCTGTGTTGTTTCTGTTCCTGTAACAACAGAAATGGCTTCTTTTTATGTTTTCACAAAAGAATACTCAGTGAAAGAAGAGTACAAGCTGAGTTCTGAGTTGTTCTCCTTTTCCCTTCTCTGAAGGATAGTAGAGAATATTCTAGTGAGTTTGAGAATTGCTTGACAATGGCAGGAGTAGGTTTCTAGCTGTTTCAATGGGAAAAGAGCTAAGGCAAGTTACATCATTCTGGTGGGTCAGTCTATGTATAAGCTGCTGGAGTTCCTGCTGACATCCACCCAGAAAGCCTTAACCATTTTCTGTTCTTTGTGTCTTATAAATGATTAATTGATTAATTGACTGATTCATTCATTCATTCATTCATTCATTTCTCTCTGAACACTACCTCCAGTATTACATCTATCAGGCAACTGTTTAAAATTTATCTTACAGATTCAAATTTAGGTACATGATGTTGTAGTTTTTCCTTAATGTTGCAGTTAATTAATTTTGACATTAACTTTAAGAGATTTCTATATTGTTTCTATTCTGTGCCTTTGTATTGATTCCACTTGCATGTGCACATGTGTGTGTGTGTGTGTGTATGTGTGTCTGTGTGTGTCTGTGTCTGTGTCTGTAGTGTAGTGTGCTTTACTTTCAATTTCCTCAAAAGGAATCGGGGGCACAAACACACCTCTTTAAAAAAATGTTCTTTCTCAGTAGAGGGATTTAGATGCCATTTTTTCTTTTGATTCTGCAATGCCTCCCACAGATCCCATCTATTCTCTGATTGGGTATTGTCTACGAGCTGATAAAGCTAAGTAATAGAGAAACGTGCTTCTAGCAATGTAGAAGAAACATGCAACTATGATGCCAGTGCCTAGTTGGAACTTAGACTCTAGCTGTAGGCAAGAGCTCTATCCAGCAGGGTCTGCTTTCGATTGCCTGTCTCTCGGTCTTATGGAAAGCATGCGTAATCAATATTTCCCCTCCTGCTGTAAGAAAAATAAACCAAATATTCATATCTGCAGAGAAACTGGAAGAAAAGTGGGTTATTTGCAAACAGTACCAATAATCAACTTCATGCATGGAGAGTCACAGAAGACAGTCTGGAGACTATTGACTGGATGCTCAGGAGTGGTGATTAAAGGGCCAATGGATAGAAAGTGTCAGACATTAGAAGACTAAAGCCACTAGAGTCAGAAACCAGTCATATACAGGGGACAGTGAATGGAGTGTTATGTGGCCTTCCGACCTAAGAGGAAAGCGGTGACTGAAGTAGCCAAAAGAAAGACGTTCATATCAGATGATGGGGAGTCTGTACTTGCAACACACGACAGCTGCTCCCAGAGATACAAAAGAAAAGCTTCTGAGTCAGGATGGAAAGACATAGAAGAATTGAAATTAGAAGGACTGAAGTATTCTTAACCAAAGGACGCCTGTGAAAAATGACCCTTTCTGCTATGATGAGGTAGAGCCACAGAGGGATTTCCCCAGAAGGAGAATCTCTGATGGTTCCAGAAGCTTAGAAGGGCAGGTGTGAGGCTCTTTCCATATTGAGGATAAAGGATAAGAAAAAGATATGACAAATAGTGCCTCCCTCTACCAGGACTGTCCTATTTTCTCTTCTTTGTTTCCTTATTCTTCTGTATAGGATGCAATTTTAATGCTGCATTACAAATAATTTTTTGTTTGAGGGTTTTTATTTTGTTATTTTGCAGGGGTTATTTGCTTGGGGTCTTGTCTGTTTAGGGAAAGAGGTATTGCTATTGTTTATCTGGAATTAAAAGGTAGAGCATGCAACTTTGTAGAATATTTGTTTAGTATGCACAAAGCCTTGGGTTCTTGGCTTCAGTACTCTACACTGGATAAATGGATCATGGCAGGTTATGCCTATAATCCCATCACTCAATAAACAGAAGCAGGAGGGATGGTAGTTCAAGATCATCCTTGGCTGCATGGTGACATCAAGGCCAGCCTGCATGAGACTGTGTCTCAATGAAAGTCCACTCTTTCTAAAGCCTTAAAACATTATGGCTTTCCTTGAATTGCCTCGTATGTGCTTGTGAACAAATGTAATTTTAAATTGAAGTTGTATAAAGATATGACTATATTGCTTTCCCATAATGCTTAGCTTGATACCTTTAAATAAATAAACATTTAATAGCATTTTTCTCACCATTTCCCCATTTTGACAGCACACTGTCTGAGCACATCATTAGTTACTCAGAGGTAATCCAGCCATAGTCAGGTCTGCTCTTGGGACCTCGGCTTTCATACCTCAGAGAGAGCCTGAGAACCAAGAAGCCTACCTTCTCATCGATCTTCAGCTTCCACAGTCTCATGACCAAAAAGCCTTCCTACCCTCATTTTTTCATTGCTATCTTACTATCTTATCTTGACATTTTGGTGTCTTCTGAATAAAATGTGAAAAATAGCATTGAACTTCCATATCCAATCAATCCCTCATACTTCTTACAACTTCCTACACTGATGAGTATCTAGAAAATTCATGAGTCAAGAATGAAATGGTGTCTCATCATGTCTAAATCTTTTGAAGGCTGTATGTCTATAAGATAGGATCAGCAACAAAGTGCTTGCTTTTCTAATAAAAAGCATTTTTGGAAAAAAATTCAGAAAACATTCTTGATATAGAATCGTTGCTAATAATATAAAGCATGGTTCTGCAAAAGCTTCCAAGCTCTGCTAAGATTTTGTCTTCCTTTTATTTCATTTCTCTTTGTTTTCTTTTTCTTCCTTCCTTCCTTCCTTCCTTCCTTCCTTTCTTTCTTCTTTTCTCTTTCTTTCTCTTTCTTTCTTTCTTTCTTCCTTTCTCTTTCTTTCTTTCTTTCTTCTCTCTTTCTTTCTTTCTCTCTCTCTTTCTTTCTCTCTTTCTCTCTTTCTCTCTTTCTCTCTTTCTCTCTTTCTCTCTTTCTTTCTTTTTCTTTCTTTCTTTCTTTCTTTCTTTCTTTCTTTCTTTCTTTCTTTCTTTTGCCTACTCAGTCATTTACTCCTGCCTAAAAATTTGTATGGGAAGTTTCTTTTTAATAATTTATAAAATTTCTCACACCAATACCCTTCCATCTTTTAAGTCCCTGCCCTTTGACCTTTAACCCCTGACCCAAATGCACATTTCCATCTTGGTTTCCACAGACATTTGAGAGCCTAGCTGTAGAAGCTGAGTCTCTCTATAAGCCAGATTGGAGTCTGCCCTTCAGATGGGATCTGTACATTATTTGCTGGAATGTTTCCACAGCAGATGTTAGCAGGCAGACAAGCTAGCACACAAATCCCAAAGCCCAGAGCATGCTGAGCCAGGCACATTCACTCTTGGCAATACCAAGCCCAGAAGTGGGTGATGGAGGGAATGTGCTCTGAGGGGCAAGCTCTGCTCCAAAGCCCTGCTAATGTCTCTGTGTGGTCATGCTGTATTTTCAGCTTGTCATCATGGCTGGGACAGTGCTGCTTGCCTACTACTTCGAATGCACTGACACCTTTCAGGTGCATATCCAAGGATTCTTCTGTCAGGATGGAGATTTAATGAAGCCTTACCCGGGGACGGAAGAGGAAAGCTTCATCAGCCCTCTGGTGCTCTATTGCGTTCTGGCTGCCACTCCAACTGCTATTGTAAGTACAGAACCAGTTCTTTGTTGTCAGATACCTGAAAGTATTTCCTGTCTGCCTTTTTTTCCTCTTTCCTGTCCTTCTGGGCTCTCACCAGCAAGTAGCCTTATTGACAGGTTTTCTGTTTCAGGTGAGACAGACTGAGTGGAAGTCTGCAAAAGAAATAAAGAATAAAATAAAATGGATCTTGCCTTTTTTAGATAGATAGATACTTTTTGCTTTTTAGTATCTAGATTTTTGAAGCTGTGTTTTTTTAAAAGCATGTGTGAATGTCAGAAATCAACAGATATGGTTAGCTTGGCATGTTAAGAATAGCTACTGTACTCTCAGAAAAAAAATATGCTGTGAGTTGTGTGTATTTAGAAAGGAGCCCGACTGTCAGTGAGGGCACTGCCATAGACTTTGATCAGAGAGGAACAGAACCCTCCAGCTGGTACCTCCTGCTGCTACAGCTGAACTGCAAAGGCCAAAGATGAACAAAATTACTTGACCCAAAAATTTGATGTCTCTGACCCTGTAGAAATCACGTCACATTGAGCTAGCTCAGTTGCAACCTTACCTTCATTTATTTAATTTTTCTCTCTATTGAGGTCAAAAATAGGACAGACAGTCCTGGAGGGAGACTGCTTCAAGGACATAAAGCTTGCAGATTCATGTGAGCCAGTCAAGTGATTTAACACTGAGACATTATTATTTTATGAGAGTGTTAAAATAAACATTTCCATGACTGAACACATTGCTGTTACCAGGGCAGATTAACCCTGGTGTAATTTCAATTCCCACTCTGTCCTTTCTTTTTTGATAGTTGCTCTCAAGATCATCCACCTCACCTCTGACATGCCCTCTGCTCTTCTTTATTCAGGGCCTAAATAAAAATACCAACATGCATACAGAAGAGCAGAGTGAGCGCCCAGGCATTTAATACAAATGCTATTGAGTGGAAATGCTTCTAACGCCTAATGATGAAAAGGTGATTGTAATTTTGAGGATACAGCAATGATGAGTTGTCATACTTTAAGTTTATCCGAATCATCAACCTCATCAGCCTTGGAGGAGCCCTTACCCACCGAGACTTCAGGAGAAGGGAGAATGGCGTTGATGTGATGCAACACGACATGTCAGGGTGGCTTGCAAACCTTAGGCCTATAGAGTAGCACATCTGCTTCACCACACTGATTTCTATACAAGACAAGGTTGTCACTGGATTTTGAAATGACTTCCTAAAGGTCCTAGCATACCTTTGGTGTCAGGGAGTACAGAATCTGGTAGAAACTACCCTCCACCAACTTTGGCATCAATGTCCCCATCTGAGAATTAGATGACATTCCATTGAGAATCTCTGTATGAACTCTTCTAGCGGGAACTGGACATAACTCCTATATCCCCTTTCCATTATCCTTGCTCATCAGACCTAGAAAGAGGAGAAAGCAAAGATAGAAGGCATGTGCCTCAAAAGTCAGAAGACCCCACATAAAACAAGGAACAAGGTAAAGCTCTGTCTAGAATGGACTGGCGGTGGCTCTGTCATGAAGCAGCGGTTTAGTCTGGAACTGGGTTGTGCTCCCTCTTGTTTTATGCACATATCATTTTCATATGTTATCAGACATGAATTGTTTACTGACCCATTGAGTTACTAATATATTTTCTTCCTTTCTTCCTAGTTTCAGGCAATATTATCATTCTCTATATCTTCCTATAATTATTTATAAAGATTTTTGTCATCTGAAAAAGAAACCTAAGGTCAATGGAGCATTAATAAATGTGAGCAAAAAATTAACATCAGAAAACAATATATAATCAAAACAAATATGATCAAAATATAATATAATCAAAAACAAATTCTTCAAAGTGTTACGTGCACATAAAAACAGAAGAGGAAATACGGGAAGCTATTTGGAGGGAGGACTGATTTGGCCTAGGGTAAGGAGAGCAAGGGAGGATCAATGTAGCCAGGGCATGATAACATAAATATCTGAAAGTTTGGTAATAAAAGACATTGTTTTGTGTACCTAAAAAGAAAGAAACCATTTTATCATTGATGTCTACTCTGCAGGTGTTGTCTGGGTGATCCACACAGCAACCCAATGAGCTGGAACAAGGGTATTCCAAAGAACACAGAAAACTAGGCCTACAGGTTCAACCCTTTGCGTTGAGGACACTGAGCCACAGTTTGGCTAAACAATGCCCTAAAGGTTCCATTTTCTATAAACCAATGGACAGTGCTCTTCCCATGGGGCCCCATTTTTCTTTTCCCTCTCAAGTTAGGGGCATTGCTAAGAACCAGGGATGGGCACAGCTGATGGGTTAATAAGAGAACAGTAAAGTCCTCGACGCTACTAGTCATCAGTGATTCTCCCTCAGGATCTCAATGTCAGTGAGCAGCCACAAGCCAGAGCTCCTCTGAGCTCGGGAAGGAGCTGTGTTCACTTCTGTCATCAGTGAGATATGACTTGCTCAACAGCATCCAGTGTGGGGGCGTCAGGACCTCCAAGTGCTAGTGCATCCTTCAGCACACACTCGGAGGCTCCAGCTTCAGTCTTCAGTAAAGCGGTCATCTCCCTCAGACTGGGGCCCCAATAACTTATGACTTCTAGTTGCTTAGATTCTTGCAGGTTCAGTTTTCTCATCTCTACACTTTAAGGGGGATCCAGCTCAGTGATTTCCAGGACTCCTCTAGTTCTCAGATTTCATGAGAACCCAAAAAGGAAGATGTTGATGAAAGTTTCCACGTTAGATTCTCAGCAAGTCAGATCTTCTGTTCTGGATCCATGTCTGTATTTCTGGACTTTGCATGTGTCACAGGACTACAGGACTTGTTTCTCCTTCAGAGAATTTTTTGTGTTCCCTGGAGTATAAGGGAAGGACCCTCTTTGTGTGATATGCACAGTAACTAGCAGTGAATTAAAAAAATATTAACTCTACCTGGATTGTCGTTGGCTTTCTGTGCATCTGCAAATGCTGACAGTGGCTGGACTGAGTGTCATAGTCTTGTGACTCCACATATGGCCATTAATGACCCTATTCACAGCTGCATATACTCAGGGGAGGAATGAGAGTAAAGACTGTACCATTTGACCTGTCAGCTTCCTGTTTTCCCTTTTATACATTCCTGTCAAAACATATCAACCTCATATTGAGGCAAGGCCACTTGGGATGAAGTGCACAGGGCCAATGCTGCCACTGTATCAGATCTTTAGGAAAAGTTAAAGCTTGAAGAATTTATTGTGTCCAGAACTGTTTATCCCACAATGATAACCCATACTTCAAAGAAACCTGCAAGGTATGCTCTGACTACCTAAACAGCTTGGTTAACTAAGTACTGCCTTGGGCCTTCTGAATAAACTCAGACTCAGAGGCAAAGGAAGGGAGCCAGAGAGCCTGCTTGAATAAGAGGATTTACTGGGCAGAGAATCTGATTTACCCTTATTTTATCTCAGTCCCAGTGGCACAAGGCATGAGAAGATAACTATTAAACCTTTCTCTTGGCCTTACAATGAAGTGACTGGGGAGTATTTAGCATTGAAGAAGCAGAACATTTGACTCCCTGCCCAAGAGAATTGAAATCGCTCACAGCTTGTATGCGAGTGCTTAAACACACACACACACACACACACACACACACACACACACACACACACACTCAGTAGCAGTTTCCTCAGGAAGGAAACGCCCAACACAACTTTATAGAAAGCCATAATTTAGCTGAACTTGCAAATCTTCATGTGTACATTTGGACAAGTGCTTTGCATCAAATGTAAAATTCTGCTGCAGATCAGAGTAGACTGTCACTGCGCGGACCGTTGGCTGGCTGACGAGGGCCACAGCTGCTGAAGTAAAGGAGACATTGTTGGCCCTGTGTTACTTCAGAATTTGCCTCTTCCGGGCTCTGAACAGTCTCCTGTGTTGAAATTCTTTGACATTTTTCTAAGTCACATCTTTTTCCACTGTACTACACGTGACTTCTTAAATAAAAAATTTTTTTATCACTGTTGTTACTGTACTGAGTCTTTACAATTTACACGCTCTCTGGAGCAGACATACAGACAACCCAATTAAGTTTTTGCAATTGAAAAAAAAGTTAAAAAATTCTACATTTTCTGTCTATATTACAGATTAATGATCCAGATTTCTTTTAATTGTATTTGTTCGTTTGTTCATTTGTCCATTTGCTTGTTCACTGAACTATTTCCAGATATTCCTAACTTAAAAGTATACCATGCAATGACTGCTGATTGGTGACATGTGAAGAAGATTGACTATTTTGTTGTTTTAGGATTTTTTCATTTTGATTTTTGTTTTGTTTTTTTCACAAGTGTTTCCCTAAAAATACAGACTAATTAAATTGCCTGGACGTTATAGTGAGCTTTACTTTTTTATTGAGAACAGGATTTTAGTGAAATTATTTCAAGTATCCATTTTTCTTGTCCAGCAAAGCAAATGGTGTCAGTGAACTGCATGGTTTTTGGAATATAAGGTTTCACTTTCCTTCAATACCATGCATAGTCTTAACTAGAATAGCTCTCTGAGCAGGTGGACATGGCTCTTGGACCAGACCAAAAGTCATTTTATCACAGAGACTGGATGGTTTTCATACAAACAGCATTTCCTACTTGAGCTGTTAAAAGGCACTGGAAGTGTCCAATGATAATGTCTATTACTTGTTTGTATCTATACATGATAAAGCAAAAGTCAGTAATTCTTGAGCCAACTAAAGTTTTGCAAGTAAAGGAACCAGAGACTTCCTGCAGACCTAGAGTATGTGGTATTCATCATGAAAGACCAAAAGTCCAGAATAAAGAATGCTCTCACAGTGCTGACTATTTCTCTATAGTTTTTTCCTCATTTTCTAAGTCACTTTTAAACTCTAGAAAAATTTTGAATGCTCGTGACTATGGAATTCTCCGAGGCAGAATATTCAGTATTAGCTCTCACAGTAACCGAAGGTGCTAAGCAAACTGCCAAGAGAGAATAGAAGTTTATAGTTATATCCAGCTGTAAAACTCATGAACCATAACAAGAGTCCACGTGGAATGATGTGCTCAAGGGTAAAATAGTAGCACTTGTGTCTTGGAGATATCCAACAGCCATCTAAATGGACTTAAAGCCTGCTCAATGGGGAAATCA